CCTTAGTTTTATAGGGCATCAGTCTCCCTTAGAGAGTTAAAGAGTTGGGATTAAAATTCATGGCTTTGTGTGTTTTTTGTTTGTTTGTTTGTTTTTTGCTTTTGTTTTTTGGAGGAGATGGTATTTTTAAATTTATTTTATTTATTTTATTTATTTTTTACAGATTATCCTTGTCAGGACTAACTTAACAAGTACGCTCCAATATCTCCATTTTCTTTCACACTGCCCATTGTGGTGCCAGAAATGTTACTGTGGAAGATATCACTTCTTTGGAGAGGGCTCTAAATGGGTGGAGAGATGGGACACATGAAAAACAAATTTTATATACTTCTCAATTTTGCTCAGACCCAGACTTAGAATAATGGACTTAATAATATGCTATAACACAGGAAAACAAAGGCACAAACTTAGTTATAACCAAAATGTCCAATGGGCAAGTGTTTGTCATTGAAGATGAAAGTGTCACAAAACATTTAATGCTGGCATATATACTGAAAATAGAAATTTGGGTTTAAGAATTTCTACAGTTAAAACCATTTTAGGTCAGGGACCTATCAATCATTTGTCAAAAGGAGTTACTTTTATTTCCACTAGTCTTGAGATTATAGGAAGTGGGGACAGGAAAATTCCCAAATAGAGTTAGCTTGAATAAGCCATTAAAAAAAAAATCTCATTTGGTATAGTTCAGTAATTTTCCAGAAAAAGTTCCTAGGCCAGATAGGTGACTTCTCTGGCCAAGCAATTTCTGCTTTTGTAGATTAATGTGTTTTTTGGGGGGGGGTTAGCTGTAATCCCTTTTTTCTCTGTTTAAAATCAAACAGAAAACAAACATCAATTCTATTATACACTAACATTTTAAAAGTACATCATTTGTACAAGAGAAGGACTAAGAACAGAAATGTGTTACAGAGATCCAAACATAAGTGTAAGTAAGTGCTTCACTCAGCTTTCCGGTGGTACTCAGGAGGAGCCACTTCATAGTTGCTGGCACTAAACAAAGTTTCAGAATTCTTTGCCAGGTATTTTAGGAAATTGTGAAGATAACTCAGTAACAAAGCATGGCTCTTCTCATCCAGAGGTGTATAGTCCAGCATCGCTCCAATCTGTACAAATAATCTCAGTAGGTGTGGCGCTCCATACACATGGAACTTGGGGTGCATCAGGGTGGTCTGCGAAAATTTCGGCATACTGTGGTCTCTCAAATTTGTAGAGCAGCTGAGTGCCCAACATTACATTGAAATATTCCTTTATCCCCGCCGCAACTTCATTAACAGCATCCTCCTTATTATCCATGTTTCCTAGAGATTTCTTGTAATTTGCATAATCGTCCAGAATGGAATCCACATTCTTCTTGGCAGGAAGATAACAGGGCTGTTTCTGGCGGGTAATTAACTCCCAGTCATCAACAAACCATGGTTTTAGTTCTTTAGGAATCTTTACTTGAACTCTGTTCGTGAATGTTTCTTCATTTTCAACAGTAGGATCTACTCCAGCTCTTTTCTTGCGAGGAGGCTGAGGTGTCTCACTGGTGCTGCCACCATCTCCATTTCCAGGTGTTTTCTGTTTGTTCTTTTTCGTTTTCACTTCAACGTTTTTCTGTTGCAGACCAGATGTTTTCTTTCCCAGGGCAGCCCCTCTCATCTTCCCCTCTGCACACTGTTCTTGATTGGCTTTTTGAAGTTTTCGCTGTTTCTGGAGATTGGTGCCAACATATTTGAGTATTCTGCTTTCTGGGACCTGTTCATCCCAATTTTTATTCCACCCACTGTAATGTATAAAATATTTCACTTGTTTGTCCTTTACACACTTTGCTTCATAAAGAAGAGGCCAATGAAAGCACAGCACTCGCTCACCCTCTTGGAATTTAGGCTTTGGGTCCTGCTTTGGCGCCATTTATAGGGATTTGCCGCTGCCGCCTCCTTCTCCCACCACTGGACTACCGCCCTCCACTCGCCACCCCATCCAGTTCCCAGGTTAATGTATTTTTATCCACCAAGAAGGTCATGGCCCAGAGAAAGACAAACATTACGTGATCTCACTTATATGTGGAATCTAAAGAACTTAATAAACAGATGAACAGAATAGATTCAATGACATGGAAGCATAGATGAGACTGACGAATGTCAGAGGGATGGAGGAGGGCG